CAATAGGTGAAATATTGTTGAACATAACTGATATGAATGTAACGGATTTCGATAAATGAAATGATTTTCGACGACAGTATAAAAGATTGTTTTTCGGGGGAAAAAATAGGTTATACTCTTTAAGTTCAATATTCTTCATGAAGTTGGTGAAGACAAATTTTTCATAATTTTTAACTGGTTCAAACGACGTATTCATTCGATCAAAATATGTTCCATTCTCAATTTCTGATCATTTAAAACTGTTCAAATAATATATTAAGTGTACGAATATTTTTAAGTTATAACCGTCGAATATTATGTTTAGGTACTTGTTATTTCTCTTATAAATCATATCTTGTTAAATAACTCAAATACTGTTTTAGAATGAAATTAACTCTTACGAGAAGACACACATACATACAATTTTTCGATTTTCCACGGCTCAATTCAGTAGAATAAATATTAAAACAAACCTCAGAATCTTGCGTAGGTTATTAAAGTTGTTTGGCAAAAAGCTAACGAGCCATTTTTCGTCACCCAATCAATATTGGCACGGCTTGCTTGATCAAAATTGTCACGTACTATTAAAAAGAAAGAAAATATGAAAAAAAAAGTTGAACTGCTGAGTTGTTGACAATCAAATTCGCTTGTATTCTTGGTAAAAATACGACTAGTAGATGGCCATGTGAATTTAAACAGCATTTAAACCAGGTTTTCCGATTATAATTGAATATAATGATTTTCATTTCGTGCAAATTATGCAAGTATTTTGGCTTGAGAACGTACATATGTACATTTGAAATCAAATCTGTGGTTTAACATGGATTGGTGGTTAAACTGTTTCTTGGTATTCGAATAATGGTTAAAAACATTTTTTTTGAACCGTAGTAACATATAGTTAACATGACAACACAATTTCATAAATCAGTTTTATACGAGTATTCATTTTTTATAATATTTTTTAAAAAAATTTATTTCCAAGGATCTATGTATCTTATTAGACGCAAACTGTACCTGTTTACGTACGGAAATGCCTCACTTTTGCGATTGAAGCTAAGACCGTCTGCAATACTACTACCGGGATAATAATCTCTTTTCGCCAAGCAAATCATCATAGCGGCAAATATCGAAGATTATTGCGATCCTTACGTTCGAACGTCTTGCCGGGGGATATAATTTCACCACCTCGGGTATAAATATTGTACGGCATCATCTAATATTTGATTAATACAATTTCTGCTCCGACAAACAATATAAATCTTATTATACAATTTCCAAACGACGTAGCATATAGTCTCCACAGACGGTGCAGTATTTTTATTTTTAAATAAATAAGTATTCAAATGAAATAATAAAAATACAAATTCACACAAATCAATCATAGCTGTACAATGATAATAAAAAAATAAAAATACAAAAAAACAATACAATATTATGGATATGCGTATAATATTTGAACAAATTTATTAAATAATGTCAAATATTAATATAGATGTTGGAAAAGAAAATATTAACTATTATTTTATATATATATATTGTTAGTATCTACCTACTAGCAGTTTGAGAGAAATTAATGTTTTCATAAAATATTTTCAAACGTACGTTTTGAAATATATTACATATTCCGTCTCTAGTAAGAATTGTTCGTACAGATTCTCAAGAGTAAAATTATTGAGCATTTAATTAGGTATCTGGATATGGTCAAAGTGTATTTAAAATAAGAGAGACAACATAGAGGATTCATAAGAAGTGAATTTATGACTGTTAAAAAAAAAATGGACAACAAGTAGAATATTTCGTATACATACATTGCTAACGGGAGCACAGGGTTTGCGCACATTTACTAAAATTACAACTCATTTGCACACAGATTATTTCTAGTGCAACCACTCGTTTGTGCACACATTTTCCTTCCCAATTATACAGACTTAGGACTGTCAGTGAATATTTTAACTTCACTGGTGTGGTTAAAAATGTGTTTTTGGTGGGCTATGTGTTAAAAAATATGCACAATTAATTTTTATTGTAGCGGTCATTTGTTTATGTTTATTTTAATTATGTGCTTATTTCAAAGGGTTACCTTGGAAGCTGTTGCCCATTTGTTTCAAGTAATTAAATAGATCAATTTCGTTATTTGAATACTTTGTCCACAAATTTTTCATATACTCAATTGTTTGTGACATTTCTTTTCGATGATAGTTATTAACATTCATTTTTATTGAATTCAGTTTAAGTTCAGTTTCTGATTAATCATCTAATTTGATGTTTAAAATAACATCCATTACTTGGTACACGAGTGGATGAAGGTTATAGAATTGATTGTTAAAATGCCTATGGAATGCTTCAGCTCCGTTTTTTGTTCTGGGTAAATCATTTGGTTTTCCCGCCTACAGGGATGGATTGAAATTTGAATTAGGTAATATGTATGATAAAAAAAACAGAATCAGAGAAATATAATCCATCAGGTGGAGCAATTGCTATTAAATTTGAAAATGCTATTTCTATTTCTTCAGGTGGTAAATACGGCAAACCAAAAAAATATTTATGCTATTTACTTAACTTTGAATTATTATTTTTATATTCCCTTAATAATTTACTACATTTTTTGTATTCGATGAAACCAAGATTAACGAAAGGTTCCTATTACAATATATTATGTTGTATGCAAAAGAGTTAAAGGTTTTAACAGGAAAATTTTAAAATGTGCACAAACCAGTTGTAGCCATTGCTAATAGCATGGTACATGGAGGTAATTATACTTAAAAGTTAGGTAGGGTTAGTGAATCGATGGATTATATAGAGAGAATTCGAGAGTGCATTGTCGAATGATCGCTACACGACTGAATCCGATCGCCATTCGATATGGTATATTGTTAAAAATCGAACAAAATGTTTTTGAAAAATATTTTCTGCGTAACTTTCAACTATCGACATCCGAGCTTAGAAGATAAAATCGTTTCCCCGATTCATTTGACCAATCGTCACCAAACATGTAGTACATCATATATGTAGCGTAATAATAATAATAATTCAAATTATCATGAAATAGCCACGGACAGATTCCCGAGATATCCATTATCGCCCGATAGTTGATCTGAAGAAAAAACCTTGAACGGAGCACAGAATACACATCTCGGCCGCAAAAGAAATAATATCGACTGCAAATTTCGACTCGAAGAAAAGTAGTTTCTACGGGCGGGCCGTGGCGAACAGCGGTGGCAGCTAACATCTGAAAATGTTTTTACATGTAAATTAGGGTCGAAGTGTATGTACGTCGAAGTGGTACCAGAGTAAACCCGTGTCTTCCTTTTTAAGGATTAAGCAAGAATTTCCGGTACGCGTTTTGGTGGCTTTGGGTCCTTGCGAAAATATTTGGTTAGGCGCTTTTAATAGTTTGTACGGTTAACGCGTGCACGTACATTATTTATGTTAAAACGAAATAACGTGACGCGGCTCCACCACCCGGTGGAAATATCATCGATCATATAGGAAAAAATCACGCTCGCCTCGTACCATGTGTACTGCTGTTATTATTGTCACTGTCGCTTTTCGCGAAGTTGTCGCGGGAATTCTCATGGTTGACAGATACCGAAAATAACAAAAAAAAAAAAAAAATAACACACTCACGCGCGTGCAACACAATGTCGGTTCGGAAATTAGTTCTGTTCTTTTGTCTAAGATATTGGATTTTCCGCAGGTGATCATGTGGAAATTTCGTTTTTACAGAATTAGTTTCCACGCTCGCCAGATTACTTCAAGTCTGGCGGGACGCATCGGAATCTGGACGATGACAATACGAGCGCTTTAAATAGCCCGCAACAGCCAATGTTCGTTCGAGTGGATTCCAGACGAAAATACTGATTGCATTACGTCCAGAATATAAATTTTCGGTAACGCGGTGCGATCGGATATCGAAATATTGAAACGTACCGCCAAAGGAATCCGATGCACTTGTATTATAGACATGTTGGTTTTATAGTGCAGTGGATCCCGAATTTTTACGGCCACGGCGCCCTTGAAAAGTTAGTTTGCTATTCACAACGAAACCTCAATGTTCCCAAATCCAACTCGTTCCCATATTTTAAACTGTTTATTGAAAAACATAACTTTTATAAAATATTCTTAAGATTTTGTTTACGATTATTGATTATTATAATTAATTATAAAAAAAATCAATTTTCATTCATATTTCATTTATTTGAATGATGAATATCTATTATTTTATTATTAAATACATTTATCTGGCAAAACACAGCTCGAGATTATTCCTCGGAACCCTTAAATTAAATTCTATTTCGTGGAACAGAATTCAGAAAAAGGTTTTATATGGAGACAGGAAGAGTCATTAGAGTTTTTAATGTGTAAAATTGAAAAAAAACTACAAGTATTTGAATAATAAAACGTATTTTATTTCTATGCAATGTACACTTGAACAATTTATTATTTGGCGTTATATTAAGTTCTCTTTGTTTAACTATTAAACTGTGTGCAACAAGAGCGTTCATTTATTAAAATCATTAAAAATTGACAATTAAACTAGTTTATTAAGATATAAGGTTCTTATTATACTAGTATATGGATAGGGATATTATAATACTAGTATCTCCGGTGACTTCGATTAAACTTGATCTGATTTAATGTAAAAAAATAATTACGTTTTATGTAGTTCTTTTTTTTTTTTATTATTAATAGGTGAACCCTTTATACTTTTACCTAACATCTAACAGATGCCTTTGTCTACAAAATAATAGACGATTGTTACAACATAATATACTTATATAGCGCGTATTAGGTTAATGCATTACACTTATTTTTGCTGTCCTTGTTATGTTTTTTTTTTTTTTTGTAAATCATTATGTTGATGAACCATTGTATAGTCTATTTAATTAAACGATTGTAATAATAACAATTATACTAATAATAATAATAATAATAATAATAATAATAATAATAATAATAATAATAATAATAATAATAATAATAATAATAGTAATAATAATAGTTATAAATATTTTAGTAGAATTGTTCGATGTTAAAATATTAGCATTTTTAAACAAAAGTTTATCGTTGGCAGGTATAGTAAAAACATTAGTATTATATAAAAATGAACACTGGGACGAAAAAATAATCAATATTAAATTTAACGTAAGTGTATTATTATTTATGTGAACATTTTAAACAATAAAACGTGTAAAATAATAATGGAAATGTAGAAATATAGTAGTAGACGGTAAATGAAGTGCCTTAAATGGATTACTCGGCGTGAACAGCTTTTCACATATTGTATTCGAGCGATTTGTGCGTTGGTGAAAATAAAAACAATGAAACCAGATATTAAGTGTTATATTGTACATTGAAATAATAATAAAAAATAAAATCTATCGATGAATTCTATTTTCATTGATTGTAGTTGAATTTTTCTTCTTTTTGCAGAGCTTTCACTAAAATCAAGCTCAAGACAGTAATAAGCATCTGAAACATAAAAATTAAAAAATTACGAATAATAGTTGAAATATAAACGTTAAAGTTGTTAAAGTTTTAAAAACGACATCCTTCATTGTAGGATATCGAGTTCTACACAATTCCGTATTCAAAAGGAGACTGAGGGGACTGCAGGAAATGTTCCATGATGAATGCTTTCGAAGTATCAGGAAATATTAATTTTTATATCTCTATGTATAAAATACATATATAGAGATATATATGTATATAGAGATTATCTACTCTGTTGCCATAATTATGTTGTATTATAATAACGTTATTTTTAAATTTAAATATGGTTTTTTTTTTTTTTTTTTTTTAATATATCTGATCGGTCCCTTCAAAAAAATACTCTTCATACATCACTGATCCTACACAAAAGCATACGATTAAATTTATTATTTATCGAAATAATATTGAATGCAGTTCTTTGAGAATAATGCTCATAAAATACTGTAGAGTTTGCCAATCAAACCTTTGGTTTGGTCATTGATAAACACAGATTCTAGAAAATAAACTATCGATGCTGCTACCGTGACCGAAATTTTTCAGGATTAGCCTTATTGGTTTGAGTGTAACTATGTGCATTGTTATATTTATTTCTGTGACTTAACAATAAATTTGTTAAATAACATGGTTAATGAATGTACAAGTTCAAAACAACATAACTTCCGTTTAAATAATATATTTAAAATATAAAAATTGATCTTGTTTCGATAGAGCAGGGTCGAACGATATGTGACCTCCTACCTGTGACTATGATGCGGCATAAATTTGAGTTATTTATGTAATATTGTCTAGAAGCTAAAAAACGTGTTGAACGATCGAATACATATGCAAAATACGAAGTCGATAAGTACATATCAATTTCAATCGATCGTAAACAATTGTTGGTGTTAGAAATTCGGTTGATCCGCTTGCAATTGCGTGTTTTCGACGCGTGTTCGGTTCGTTCATTTTATATTCGGTTCCGATTGATCACCTCCGTGTTACAGTATGGTAATAAAAATGTAATACGCCATTGTCATTGTCATTCTAATGACATTTTGTGAACCAACAAAAGTGTAATTATTAAATTATATAATGGCATAGACGAAGCTCACGGCTGACTGTTAACCGATTAAACATACATTATACTATAATTCTTCGAGATAGTGGTAGCCCCAGTAATACAACGTAAGGATCGACTCAGATGGTATACTTAACTTCCGACAATTATTATTTATACATACACAACAAATCAATATAAGTTGTAATAAATTTATAAGATACTCTCTTTCTTTCTCTATCTTTGGAACGAGTGTGTCTGTGGTAAAGGCGTGGTAATTTGCCAGTCGTGTTCTATTATTAAAGCGATTGTTAAGACTGTAACATATAGTTTTCTAGAAAGAAAAAAATAATTACCTTGAAAAACCAATGATATTATAGCATTTTTACGTATCATAGCGGTGGGGGGGGGTAGGAGAATATGTACTTACTTAAAATATTAAAAATTTAGCTCTTCGAGCAGAAATAACGAGAAATAAAGCTAATAATATAATATAGAATTTGTACGTATAATAAAATAACTATGGTTCGGATTTTAATGACCTCCAAGCTATCGAAAAATACTCTATAAAAAAAGTCGAATATGACCTTACATATATATAATTGTCTATATAGTTTTTCTTTTTTTTATGAAATTTATTGTTTTATCAGGTACGTTATTTATAATTTATATATAAAAAAAAACTATTTATTGGAAAAAAAAACAAAAATTTGAAAAAGCCTTCTTGACGAGGTTACAATGGTAAGATGAAAATCATCTTTAGATAATAATATAATTCAGTTGGATTTAAGTTATTAAATTATATAATGTTAGAAAATGCATTAAAACAAACAAAATGACTGAAAAATTATATAAAAAATGCTGTGAAAACGAAGAAAACATCAAATAATGTAAATTAAGTGTCTTATCTTTGAAGTATCGGTTACACGAAATGATTAATGTAATCAGAAAACATTTCCTAAGAACACTCAAAAAAATAAATACTTTACATTGATATCCGGGTCTTATATATTACTACTATTATGTTTATATATATATATATATTTATTTGATATATTTTTATTTTGGCTTTTGGTAATACATACAATTTATAGAATATACTACATAATATCTATTCATAACTAATTATATGGGGTTTTAACGAGCATTTATTTTTTTTCCCGAAACGCGTGTTCAAATAACATTATTTCTGAACGAATACGATTTGCGCTTTTGCCACGGTCCGTCATGCATTCGCGTTTCATCGAGTCAACAGTTGAACGTCAACGTTGCGTGTAATATTGATCAATTACTCCGATAATACCAATCCGCCGGACATTTAGTAAACGCGATAAATGGTGACGACGTGAAAGTATACTCTCGGACGACTACGAGGAAGCGTTTCATAATCAAATAAATCAAATTGCCTTTACAAAGTTTTCCAGCTCAAACTTGATAAATAATGAGATTTTCTTTTCATTAAAGGCATAAATATTTTTACATCAGAAATATCTGAACAGAGGAACAGTAAATGAGCAGAGGTGTGCATAGAAAAAATAATTTTTAATTATTAAAATTAGCATTTGAGAGAAAAATGGCAGACTTAACTTTTTACCATCATCTCGTCTTTAGCAATCTTGTTTTTTATTTTTATTTTATGTTTATAGAAATAATAAAAAATGCGAACGTTATAAATAGCTTTATCCTCAGTTTTTTTTTTTTGTTTTTTGTGTAAACTATGCAAATTTAAGCGAAACGAAATATTTATTTTACGAATTTAGTAATCTTTATAACTTTTCTTGTTTATTATTTTTAATTTATACTTCATTTATTGTATTTATTTTATGTTAATTTTTTTTTTAATGCTCCGACAGTTCGTCTTATTAATTATAATATATATGAAGTGAACAAATCGTATTCAAATTTCTTCACAATTTGTTTCATTAAATCAATGATACTATATTGAATTTTACAAATCAACCGAATATTTTTAAATCATTTATTTTAAACAGTTATGATACTCTAACTACGCTCCTTATATTTTTATTTGATATTTTCTAACATACTTTTTCCTATTTTTTATTTGATAAAACTTGATTAACTCGGTAGAGCTAAAAATAAATTTGAAGATAAGATTTTTCGTTTTTAATTATGGTGTAAATAAGTAATTATGTAAATAAACTTGTCAGTCATTTACAATTATTAAATGTTAATTTATGATTGATAATAATTGTAATAAATATGAAAATTTAGTATAATTTTATATGACTTATAATTAATATTATTTCAAAATTATTTTAACCTATTTAATCAAGAAAATCTGCTAGCTCATTATATTGATAAAACGTTGTGTTGTTTTTAAATTAATGTCTAATAAAAATCAATAAAAAAACGAATTCATCGGCAGTTGAAATAATTTGATGCACTACTAAATCCACTAATGATGGGAAAAATTCGAAAATAGTGAAGGGAAAATCTAGCTTCTTGAAATTTGAAGTCCAAAATCCGGAATAAACTTAAAATTAAAATATCTGGTTTTATTCTAAATTCGGATTTTGGATTTTAAAAAATTGAATAAATATTCGTTTGTGTATGACTAATTATAAAGTATTGACATATATTTTGTAATAAATTTATTTTTCAATTAGATTAAAGAATTCCAAAATGTGAAATCCATTATTTAGATATTGAAAATATAAAATCGGAATTTTAATTTTTTAATCAAGAATTTTATATTGGCAGCAAAGGGCCTAAAATTTAGTAAAAATGGAAGTCAACGACTTATTCATCTTATTTGTTCTCGTTAAAAGATGATTCTAAGCAGCATAATAAAATGTATTAACTAATTAATAGTAGCAGTAGATTATAGCGTTTAGAATTAAATCCATAATTCCCAAAAATTTGACAAATTCGGATCTTGAATTTAATTCCCAACGCTATAATCTAGTGATACTATTTATTATGCTGCTTGGAATCATTTTTTAATGAGAACAAATAAGATGAATAAGTCGTTCACTTCCATTTTTATGATTAGATTCCGTTTGTTTACTATATTGAAATACTGTGCAATTCAAGTTTTTTTTATTTTTGTTTAAGTTTCATTTTTTTTTTTATAAAAATGTACTAAAAAATGTTTCATTTGTTTTGCTGTATATTTTAATAACGCAGTTCATCTCATTAGTTTTGTGTTTTAATTATTCTTGAATGTATTATGCATACTATACATTTCCAATTGTATGTAATTTACTTTAAATTTAGACTTTTTGGATTTTGTAACTCTGTTTTAACTTATTATTGTCTCTTAAACACAACGCTGTAACACTAAAATGTAATAATATAAAATCGTAAATAGGTCACAGGTATAATGGGGTGTAGTAATCGGTTGTACTTATTCAGAATTTTCTTAGAAAACAACGGTAAAATAATAATAATAATAATAATGTAACAATATACCTTCATTACATTTCTGATCTACCATAGAATACATATGGAGCCTGAGATCGTCTGAAATAAATAGAAATTAACAATTGGTACTTAAAATAATCATCTCTCTCGTCGCTTGTGTATAAACTTTTACCATTCCGTCCTTAGAATATTTTAATTACACAATAATAACCTTTTGCAGTATTACATCTCAAGTTTATATTTTGAAGTTTTCTACCTTCACCATAATATATGCGTAGCAATAGCAACTTATCTATAGCCAAGTTGGTGTAATATATGATTTGCAGCAATGTACAATAGTGTAGTAATTCAATAAATAAATAAATAAATAATAATATTTACAATAAATAATAAAATAATATAAATAAAATAAATACTAGTTACCTAATGATTTATAGGTACTCATAAATTATTAATATGTTTGGTAATATTAATTTTAGTTCACACGTTTACGGCCACGTGTCAACTATAGTTGACATAGGGTTCTCTTTAGATAAATCAATGTCAAGTATAGTTGACA